GAGACCAAATTGCTAACATGCGCTGGATTATGGAGAAAGCCAGAGAGTTCCAGAAAAAGATCTACTTCTGCTTCATTGATTATGCAAAAGCCTTTGACTGTGTGGACCACAGCAAACTATGGCAAGTTCTTAAAGAAATGGGAGTGCCTGGCCACCTTATCTATCTCCTGAGAAATCTATATGTAGGACAGGAAGCAACACTTGGAAACTGGATATGGAATTGATTGGTTCAAAATTGGGAAAGGAGTATGACAAGGCTGTATATTGTCTCCCTGCTTATTTAACTTACATGCAGGATATATTATGCGAAAGGCAAGACTGGATGAATCCCAAGCTGGAATTAAGATTGCCAGAAGAAATATCAACAACCTCAGATATGCAGGTGATACCACTCTGATGGCAGAAAGTGAGGAGGAATTAAAGAACGTCTCAATGAGGGTGAAAGAGGAGAGTGCAAAAAACGGGCTGAAGCTCAACATCAAAAAAACTAAGATCATGGCCGCTGCTCCCATCACCTCATGGCAAATAGAAGGGGAAGATATGGAGATAGTGACAAATTTTACTTTCTTGGGCTCCATGATCACTGCAGATGGTGACAGCAGCCATGAAATTAAAAGACGCCTGCTTCTTGGGAGGAAAGCGATGACAAACCTAGACAGCATCTTAAAAAGCAGAGACATCACCTTGCCAACAAAAGTCTGCATAGTCAAAGCTATGGTTTTTCCAGTAACGATGTATAGAAGTTAGAGTTGGTCCATAAAGAAGGCTGACCGCCGAAGAACTGATGCTTTTGAACTGTGGTGCTGGAGGAGACTCTTGAGATCCCCTGGACTGCAAAGAAAACAAACCTATCCATTTTAAAAGAAATCAACCCTGAGTGCTGACTGGAAGGAAAGATCCTGAAGCTCCAATACTTCAGCTATGTCAAGAGAAGAGAAGACTCCCTGGAAAAGACCCTGATGTTGGGAAAGTGTGAAGGCAAGAGTAGAAGGGGACGACAGAGTACAAGACTGTTGGGCAGTGTCACTGAAGCTACTAACATAACTTTGACCCAACTCCGGGAGGCAGTGGAAGATAGGAGGGCCTGGTGTGCTCTGGTCCATGTTGGACATGACTTTACGACTAAACAACAACAACATTCTGTTCAGTATTTACATATGCATGTAGCCCCAACCACAGAAGCTGCCACAGCGGTCTGACATGGTGCCACCAGACAAATGACTTGTTAAAATGTTGTGGTAGCCTCTGCAATTCCACGTATGTAAATGTTAAGCAAGAGAGTGACTAAGGCAGGCTATTAATGAAAGGAAATAATTTTCCAAAACAACTTACCATGAGGGACCATTCTTTAACTTTCTGAAAAATCACTTGCCGACCTTGTGGCATCCATGCAACAAGCACTGTTATAGCTCGAATGGTAAGCCAGCAAACATATAATCCACAAGCAGCTGTGTATAGTTCATGTATTTTGGCTGTCCCTGTCCAAAAGGACATCAGCCAACGGCCAGCAAATACTATAAACAAAAAGACTGGGTTATTATTTTACAGAACATAATAAATTTATAGAACATAATCATAAACTGATATAGGTCATGATCCAAAGAAATCTGAAACTAATTCTGTAGACAGGGTGACTTCATATGCTCCCTCCCTCCAACCTCAAACAGAATACAGCTTGCTTTTGAAACTAGCGTATTTTGAAAGCTATTTGTCAAGCTTTCAAAATATGGTAGTTTCAAAAGCAGGCTGTATTCTGGCTTGTAGATTGGCTGTTCAAAGGAGGGCATGTTATGTGTTGTTATTTGGTTAAGCCTAAACTATCTCTGGAGGCAGAAACATTGAAGCTGATGCTGTCTTTTTTGTGCACATCATGAGAAGGCACGATTCTCTGGAAAAGACAATAACGATGGGAAAGGTGGAAAGCATCAGGAAAAGAGGAATACCAAATATAAGATAGATTGACTCCCTAAATGAAGGCACAGGCTTGCCTTTACAGAGCTAAGTAGGGCAGTTGAGGACAGGGCATTTTGGAGATTGCTCATTCACAGGGTCACCTTAAGTCAGAGGTGACATGACAGTGAATAACAAAAACATATAATAGTAAGCAATTTAAAATTGAAATAGTACAGTGTGCGTTTTAACAACCAGTCTCTTGCAAAATACATACCTGGTAATGTAAGGCAGATAAGACTTGCAAGCAGCAATGTTATGCACATGAAAACAATTAACAGAAATATCTGAAAAACAAAATTGAAACCATGAAGTGGAGAACGAGTAAAGGAATGGAACAGTATATTTTATAAAGAACAAAACAGTATGAAGTGACATTTGGGAACAATTCTACTTCACCTTATGGATATCATCTCAACAAATTCCTACTGAATTCAACAGGATGTACTACTTGTCAAACTGTGCACTGGTTTGCAGCTTTAGATGAGGACCTACAATTGATGTGTCCAGAGGTTACTGAAATACTCTACCACAAAACAATAAACTCTGTTTCTGAAAACAGGTAACTAATATTTCTGGTTATCTGAATGCCAGATCTTGAACACCTGGTTTCAGCTCAAAAAGGTGGAAATTGTGATCTGAATGCTCAGTTTCTACAAATTGGATGCTGTAGACTTCGAAGACTGAAGTTAGCATATTATCAACATAGGCTGCCAATTTCAAGGACAAGAATTGGGGTGTGGGGGGTGGCAGAACAAATTTCCTATTTATCATATCAGCCAAATATGCTGCTTGCTTCTATGACTATAGGTGGGTGCAGTAAAGGTTTACACCCAATCCTTTCAGTCATATATTTTCTTGCAGGAAAAATGGAGATTCTAATTCCACAATGTATTTCCTGAGACAGCAGGCCTCATAGTAAGCAAACAGTTTTTACAACACAATCATTTTTAGGCCAAAACAAAAGAATAATAAAATAATAAAAATGACAAAAATGTTGTGGCACCTTAAAGACTAGCTGCTTTTAATGGGAGTTTTTGCGAACAAGTATTATTGCCAGTGTGTCCCACACAGTGAGGAGGCTCTTTCAAGTCTAGCTTCAAAGAAACAACAGATGAAAACTAGGGGAAATGGGGGGAAACCCCATTATGTCTACACACACACACAAAAACCGCCTTAAGAATTATTTCCTACAGGTACCAGATACACGTATAGAATCAGAGAAAAGAAGCTGCTGAATTATCAATGGACTGAAGGGACATTCAATGTTGCCTACCCTGAGTGGAAATTTTAAAGGCCTACGGTAAGGCTGAAAACCCACAGGTCCTCCTTGCTGTAATATGGCTTGGTGGGCTGCATGAAGACCTTCCCCCACAACTGGAATGGCATTATTATTGCGAACAGGTTGGTTATTAGGCTGTTGGTTTGCGTTATTTTCATTCTCCTCCTGATCTCCAAGTAGGTAAGAATGCAGATCCCTGGAACAAGATTTAAGAGAAGTTAACAACTAGCAACTATTAACAGTCAATAACAATGCTAATAATGATGGTTATTGTATATTATTCATACCACATCCTTTCTTTGTAAGAACTCTTCTTTGTAAGAAACAATCTATATGCATGATGACAAGATAAGTAACGGAATATGGAATAAGAATCTGTAAGAACACCCTACTTTGCTTTCATTGTTGTATCTAACAAGATGAAACAGCTCTAGTAGTGAAGAGCTCATATTCACTTGTGGGAACAACCAAATGAAGAAAAAACCCTAACTACAGAATTATTACCAATGGAATAAAGGCAAATTTGACTTGCTGTAAGAAGTATGATTCAAGCAAGCAAACTAAGCAAAAGCTTCTAGAGAAGGCAGAATAATTTCTACTGTAATTACTAATTAATCAAAATATTTATCTACTTAAGCTATATACTCAAATAAGAATTTTAAAATTATCGGAATTTCATTTTCACTTTTTACTTTTAAAAGAAAGTGGCATGCAGAACAAAAATCCATCCCAAAATGTAGAAAATACCCTAAACTGCTTTTGGAAAATGTCCCATCAAAATACTCCCTAAGAAGGTTAGAAAAAAAAGTAAGTACAGTATTACACACACAAGTCACAATTACTACCATACCATTAGACACAAAAGAATGCAAGGCACCCCACAGCCTTGCCTGAGCTGTACTCACAGCCAAACTTGATGCTGGATCCTGAAAATGTAGTTATGCTTTAAAGCAAGATGTGAGTTCTTGATGCAGTTTTTTTTTAATGAGTATGTTCTACCACTTGGGAGCAAAGTTTAGTGTAAGAATCTAAAATGAAAATATATGGGCTGTAACAAGCAGTTGGTGTGTGCATGCAAAACCAAGGTGCACATGTGACCTTTGTGTTGCCCACCTAGTGTAGGTTGCTTTGGCAATAAAAAAAGTTTATAGAGAAGACAAATTATTGGAGGAATAAAAATACTATATACTTACAATAAGTATCCAGCAGTAACAGTCCATGCCCGTACAAGACCCTTCAGCCACTGCCTTGTGTGTCCCTGTTCAAGCAAAGCTGGCAGTACCACCTGAAGCAGAAGTAGTTCTAGAGAAAGTTCACTCACAGGAGCATCACTGTGGTAATAAAAAGAAACGAATATTATATAACTACCAATGTTGTAAAGAATTACCTTGTGACACTGATGTGAAACATTCACTGTATATGCAATCATTAAACATGTATAGGTCGATTTTCCTTATACATTCCTATTTGTTTTACTGCTAAGTTACTTTTTGACTGCCAAACAAAATAAGTAATTGTTGTAAAAATAAAACCTAAACAATTATGTCTTCATCATCAGAATAGCACAGATAAGATGAGCACAGCCAGGACACATCATGATGTCACTAGGGATGGGACATTCAGAAAAAACTGAACTCCAAGTCCTAGGCCAAATTATGAGACTAGGACCTGACAAAGGGCAGGAGGTAGAGCAGCACTCTTACCTCCATGCTGTTCCCTGCCTCTTCTTCACACCCTCTGAAGAGCACCTAGGTGCACTTTTGCAAGTTGCAAGAATTCCCTGCACCCTGCAAGGCTGCATGAGGGAAAAATATCTGAGAGAGGCAGCCTCCACATGGAGGAAATGCTCACAACTCACAGAAGTGCAGCTGGATGCTTTTCAGAGTGAATGGAGGCCAGCCTCCATAATATTTGTAGTAAAAGAGCAGATTAGGGAAATCAGATGCAATTTCATAAAATGGCTCATCTTACCTGTAGAGCATGACATTGTATGGAAGAAAATGAGGCAGCAGATATTTAATAATTCGTATAGGAAGCCAAAGCATGAGCAAGACAATTGACCCGAAGACAATCTGCAATTTAAAAAAAGATATATTACTGCAATTCTAGATTAAGTTTATCCCAACATAACTATCATTCATACTTTAAATATCATAGAGTCTTTCTCTGGTTCTTAACTTATTTCACTTCACTGACTTTCTTTGAAGTCTTTCTCTGGTTCTTCATTTACTCTCTAATCAGAATTAAAACCTCACTCCAAACCGTGATTTACATTTGTTTTGGGGAGGATAAGCACAAACTACTATTTACCAGTTGGTGGCATAACACAGCTGGCATTAAAAAGTGTGCAGTTCTTTCATAGTTTTGAAAATTACGTGAACTGAGTCACAGTTTTGCTTATGTATTTTCTTTTTTTTTTACCTTGCAGAAGTGGTTTACATACTATACATACTACAGTTTCTTTGTAACAAACAGTATGATTATTCTAGCATTTGTGGTACTTAAAACATAGGTACAGTTACAGTTCATTATTTCATAAGATAAGTGTGCAAGTAAATATACACTGTGAAGCACACATTTACTGTACATTCTAAACAAAAAAAGTCATTTGTTACAGTAAGAATACTAATACTGAAAAGAAAAACTGGAAATGTATCCTCACCACTGACAAAATAAATCTCCTGAGATGTCTATAAATAGGTAAGTGAATCATCTCTTGAACCGGATTAAAGTCTGGGTCATTTAAATTCCTCAGAAACCAAAGGACGCCAGGTCTTAGAACCTAAGAAGAAATGAAAATTAATACTTCAAAGGAAAGTGTATATATTGATATCTGAAGGATTAAAGATAATGAAATTATTTTTTTCTAATAATTTAACATTTGCTTTAGGAACTATTCATTTTATTTTATAATAAACAATAATTTTATTTTACAAAACCATTAATGTTCAAAACAGCTTCTACATGAACCAAAACCCTAACTTCCCTACTATTTTCCCGAAAATAAGACCTAATCTGAAAATAAGCCCTAGTATGATTTTTCAGAATGCTCGTAATAGAAGACTTACACCTAGTTAAGTGAAACCCCACCCTCCACCATTGTACAGCAACGAGAAGATGACATGGCTGTATTTTAATAAATGTAGACTTTTGTCCATTAAAAAAAATAAAACATCCCCTGAAAATAAGCCCTAATTTTGGGGAAACATGGTACAGCCAATCTCTCACCATGTTTAAAGGGGGGGGGGACAATTCATTGCATGCTGACTGAAATAGTAATGTTAAGGGGAGGGGAAAAATTACTTTCCAATAGATTAACACCCAGAATTCAGGCCAATGTACTGAGGCTGGGGAAGAAGGAAGGAAAGATTAGGTGGAATTCAAGAGTTGTGCTGAATAGTGCCCAGCAGGGGATCATTACTTCGAAATCTGGCAGGAAGTGTGATAAAAGGGAACAAAGGCACAGTTTTCCTGAGGAAATATATTTGGTACAGGTAGATAGCTGTATTACAGCTCTGCCGCCAAACACATGAGTATGAGTGCTTAAGGGCCTTAAAAGACCTAAGGATTCATTTATCCTTTTATGGAAACTACTGCCTGAGGATGAGAGCAAGGTACTACCTGAAGTCCTTGGTCCTGGTCACATGAGGGAAATGTTATGTAGTTATCCACCAGTTATGTCAGTATTTTTTTTTCCTGGTCAAACGATGCAAAGTCAAGAGCGAGGCACCTTTCCAGCTAGTGGTGTAACCGCAGAACATCCCCCATAACCAGGAGGGTTGTATTATTTCGTACCTTTGTTGTACCGGTGTATTCTTTACCAGGATTGCCTGTTTGCAAAACCTGCCCCACTTCTTTTCAGAATTGAAGTCAGAAAGGTGGCCACCATTACTGCAGCACACACATTAAATTTTTTTTTTGCCTGATACATCGATATATTGGTAAAAGTATATCACTGGGGGCCACTGCCATTACATTACTAACGAGTAATTTTTTTTTTCTTTCCTGTGAGAAGATACATTGAAACAATGGTATGCCAATGTCATGGAACGGATGATTGCCAGTACTGCTGCATGGATATTCCAAGTCCATTCTGTGCAATGCATTTCTGCAGGAGTAGCCAGTGCGACAGAGGAACACTTTCCTAAACAGAAACCCCTTTCCGATCAATGATCCCTCTAATTTCCATCCCCATTTGTGTTTGAGTCCGCCCCCCTGTGTGGGATTCCATTGCAAATGGAACGAAAGGGGCTGGAAATGATAGCTGTGGATGCATGGGGGGGGGGAGGAAAGCTGTGCAGAGAGGGAGTAGAGTCAAGCGCACTCACAGTCATGCAGCTCAGAATGGGTGCATATATTTATTGATATATATATAAAGTCAGTACTGCTAAAAGTTCTTGAGACGTTCATCCTGGGATACAAACCATGTCACCACAATTCAGTACAACAGACATATGGAAAGTATTGGAAGAACTAGAAAACATCTCTCTTGTGTGATCAGGGTCTTTGAAATCCCAACATTTCCAGGAGCTTTTTCAATTTTTAAAGGAGGGCAGGCCACATCAAGCCCATTTTTACAGCCTCTGGACACATATCAAATGTAATTTAAAAAAAAAAGGTGTTATCAAAAAAGGAATATTACCACTCTTGTAAGCACCCTGATTTAGTATATGGGAATGTTTCTGCTACAGTATTTTTTTTCGAAACCAGACATGAAATTTCAGTCATGTTTGATTCTGGAAAAAAATGGAAAATTTAAGTCCCAAATCAGCAAAACTATATTACGTCTGGTATGATTACATGTCAACTTAACATGTGAGTTAACTTAAGTGGTGTTCTGTTCTTTCTGAGTTAATAAGTAGGTACTTATTAACCAAAGCAATAAGGAACTAGTTTAAGGATATTATGCATAAATTTAAGGACACTACATAAATATTTCGTAGCTGCTGACCCAGAGGACTCTACCAGCTAGCAAACAGTCTGGGTTTCTTGTTATGAGCGCTCACAGGCTTAATTCAGAGGTTATAATTTCCAATCTCAAACCAATGGTTTAAAGATTACAAATTTACTTTAGGCTCTTATGTCCTCTCCTTCCCTCTTGTATGTGAAATACTCTTTACTTCCATGGTTTAGTGAAGACATTTGCCTCTCCTTGGTTGAAAATAGGCTTGGCACATGCAGAAACACACTGAAGGATCACACCTAGTTCTTGAACAATTTGTTTATGAATTTTCTCCCTATCATACAAGCTAGTCTGATAAGCTTTTTAACTGAAAAGCAGAGTAAAAATATTTCTAAAATATCTGCTCAAGAGCATCTTGGCTGTTTCTATTCTACTGTAGTATGCAGTATAACCATGTACTTTTAAAATCAGCATATCCTGCAATATAGTACCTTACCCTACTCTAATCATTATCTGTCAAAATTATGCAGCTGTCATGTAAAGAGTAATTTTCAGATTAAACAACCTGACATTTCCAAAGGTTGTCTGACACAGGTTTCAGCAAAAATACAAATTAAAAAATTAAAATGCTTGAAATCCATAATTCTGTATGTTTTCAAGAAATCACACCCAATTAGCTTACCTCCCTCAACAAGAGGATAAAGGATGCAAAGTAGAAGACATATACCATTCCCACCAGCCAGTGTAGGAACATTGTTGTTCCAGGGGCAGATTGAAAGCTCAATTCTCTGTCTTTCAAAGTAGCATCAAACATTTCCTATATTTAAAAAAACAGACTTTTTTCAGTGTTTACACCTAATAAAATTGTCTCAATTTTTGCAAAACAATGAAACTGCAAAAATATAGTTGTAAACAGTGTTCAGTCATGACAACAAAATACAGTGGTGCCTCGACTTATGAACGTCCCTACTTATAACCTTCTCGAGTTACGACCAGCTCTGGATGCAAAATTTTGCTTCTACTTGCGACCAGAGCTTCCACTTATGAACGCAAAAAAGCAGGGGAAAAGGGCAGGAAATTCAAATTGCTAAGTGTAGGTGGCGACAAGGCTGCTTCTTCGTAGCTCTTTCATCCCAGCAGACAGAGAGTGTGCGTCGGGGGAGGCTTGGGACTGCCTGGCTTCTGCTTCTGAGTGAGCGTGTGTTTGCAGGGATGCTTGGAACTGCCTATTAAGGTAAGGTGCTGTTTTCTACTTTTAAAAACTGTTCTGGGTGTTTTTGCAGCGTGGTTTTGGGCTGGGGGGTTATGTTTTTCTGCTGTGATGGGTCTTGGGGTCCTCCCATTTCCAATGGGTCTTGGGGAGTTTGTTTGCTTTTTAGTTTTTCCCCTATTTTGAGTTAGGAACATCTTCCTGAACCAATTAAGTTCATAAGTCGAAGCACCACTGTACAGTATGCAGCCCCATCAGAGATGATTTTCTAATAATGTCTCTTAAGATTCACTTAACATCCAGTAAGTAACTCTGCAGGACATCCATGTAAAAAGCTCTTTTTCAGCACAGAACTGTAGATTTTTAAAATGAAATGTCTTCATATAGGACTTAAATAAAGCATACTTCATTTCTATCTGCTTAAAGATAACCACGTTTCCAGCAGATTGACTTGACAGTTACTTAAAGTGCTTGATAAATCCTAATCTTTTAAGAGTTACACAATCTTCATGCACAATTATGGATTTTTCGGTCCACTTTACAGATATAACCTCCTGAATTAATCTTCCTGACTGTTTACTTAGTCTAAAGCAGTGATCTCTCAATAAATTCTTTTCTTACCAGAGAACATATGTCCAGCCACCAGCCACAGATGAGAGGGAAAACCCCAATTTCTACTACTACTAACAATGATACCTGTGGAAGGGTAAAAGACAGATGTTTTTTCAGATGCAGACTTACAATAATATCAATATATCTGTGAAGATTCTCAGTCATCCAGGTGAGGTTATCTGGAAGTTGAGTCATGGCAGCTGGACTTCTTAACATTTCGCTACTCATCCAAGTTGCTTCTTCAATCTGAAGAAGTCAAACTATTCAGACCAGGGGGAAGTGAAACCAACGTGGAGGATATTTCAGGGGTCTCCTACCAACTCTCCTCAGACTGAAGAAGCTACTTGGATGAGTAGCAAAACATTTCAACCTAATAAGAAAATAGTCCAGCTGCCATGACTCCCAGATATAATATTAATGTATTTAAAACTGCTTTTTGAGACTAACATACCTTGACTACTATATAGCACACGCCAAGTAAGCGTCGTGATCTCTGAAATTTTACAAGTGCAGCCAAGCCCTATAAATATGGTCAAGGAAATAGAAATACAGTACTCCTTAGTGAAATATTGTTTTTTTAAAAGGTTAGCATGCCATAGGAAATACTGCTGGGCACCAACAAATTCAAAAAATAACATTAGATCAGAAAAGAAACAAAGCTAATTTGCTTGCTTCTCCCATCTGCCTACCACTGCTGACAGGAAGAGTCTGGAAAATTCTGCTTCCCTTTAATCATGCTTTCTTCCATCATCTGGAACAACAAATAGTAGCTAACATTAACTATAATTCACACAAGGAACAGAAGCTGGCTTGTTTTAAATTCACTATGATGAACATTAATGATAATGTCCAGTTTTGATGACACATAAAATATGTGGTTAACTAAACGCTGCAGTGAAAACTTTCAAACCCTTCTGCTGGCAGCATGGAAAATGAGACCATGGGTCACTGTGATTCGTTCACATTTATACTCATTCATGTTTTTCTGTGTAATGCTTTACAAAAAAAGGCAGATAACATGTTGCCCTCCTGATATTAGTGCAACAAGCATCAATCCTAGGCCAACAGCAAATTCCAAATGTAACATTAGTTCAAGGGAAAACATCCACTTGTAATCTCATTTTTCCTTGTATGGAGTTTCTTAAAGAGGACATGACATTTTGGAACTGTCTCAAATGTGCTACATTTTCATTTAGTATCAAGCTGTATATCATGCTGGAAGGGTCTCAAATCTACTTGTCAATTCAGAGTTCTCAGCTACAGGCTAAGCAAACAAACAGATCTAGATGGAAGAGAAAGGAAAAGGGAGGTTTAAACCACAGCAGGATATACGTATTCCAATATTGCCTAGAAACAGATTTTGTTAAATAGTGGATTAGTGTATGAATTGGATTCCTAGCCTGATTACATAAATGTTTCTTTGAATGCACATTCTATTGAGTTCAAATAAGTGCACACAAAATTACAACATTAAAACAATTTCTCTTCTTATCAGGAGGCTAAGTTGTCAGCTACTTGCTCAGAGATACAAACTAAATGAGTTCAATAAATTAAAATATTCTGTATACATACATAAGGTCAATGCAGAAGAAGGACTGGGAATCCTTTAACTACAATTATGAAATGAAGAATACATATTTCTTTTGTTCAGAGCTTCTCACTGCAGCAAATCCCTTCCTGCCCTTAAATGTTACATTAACACCAGTGTTCCTTCTGATTACAACTAACTCCCTTCCTCACCTGGATTAGAAGTTGGGAGGTTGACAGTGCAAAATTAGCTGCAGTTAAGGCAAGTGGGATCAGGCAGAAAATACTCCTGCTTCAAAAGGAGAGAGCTGCATAGAGCAATCGTGTAGCCCAATCCTAGTATCTTAAAAGAAATTAAGAAATTCCCACTGGGATGCCTGTATCACCGCCCCTCCTCAGGTTTTCCTCACAAGAGATAAAGACAATTCCTATCAAGTCTGGGAAAAAGGTACACTGACCATTGCTAGATAATGAATATAAAAACTCAATATATGAGCAAGAGGGTTTTTAAAGAAAGGATACATGACAAACAATTAATGAGACTGCCAGCAACACATAGCCAACTATTGTTGTGATTAGGCCTTCAAAATGCGATGCTTGAACCTGAAAAACAAAAAAAGCATATACTGTATATTCCCAGTGGTGGGGGTGTGGAATCTGTCATTTTTCCTTGTGACAATTTGTAAAGTATCTACTATATAGACAGCTGCAATTTTATATTCAATTTCACCTCCTTGCTAAATAATTCAAATGATTTCTGTAACAATACTACCAAATATGTCAATATTTACAAAATATTTTAATTAGTGGTCACATGAACAACCAAACAGTTGATCAACTAACACTACCTGTTTAATAAGGAATTAATCATGAATTTAAACATGTCTCTATGAATGCTCAACACAGTCTCAAGCACACAGCATAAAAGTGTAATTATAAACCTTGGATGTGACTCAGTGGAGGAGATGATATTGAGGCAGAGGTGTCCCTCTATTGGCAAAGAAAAGATCTCCTGTCTAGGGGTATTATCCTGTTCACCCTTAAGCCTGAGTTTGACCTGCAGGGAGCTTTGTTGCTGGAAAGCTATGGCCGGCTGTTTTTCTGCCAACAGAAGCAAATATTTATTTTCAAAAGTGAGATGTCAACAGCTCTGGAGCCGCTGGACCCCAAAATGTGCAGGTGAAAAACAGGGCCTCTGGGGGTCTACCCGTCAACTGCACCAGCCTGGAGCATAGCAAAAGTGCTCCTATTGTTTGCAATGTAAGTGTTTTTCAAAAAAAAAAAAAAAGCATCTTCTTCTGGAGGAAAAAAGAAAACTCCACATGACCTTTTATATTGATCCACGTGACCGCACAGAACTGTGAGATCCCGCATATATATCAGACATATCCCATGACTACTCTTAGATCACAGTTACAAAAATCTAGCATAATTACTAAAATAAAAGGAGAAAAGTTAGGTATCTGACAAATTAAACATTGTATAAAAATAATATTTGGACATGTCAATAATCCATGTTGGTAATGGGGGGCATTTGTTTAGCCTGCATCACAAATTTCAGAGAGATCCAGCCTATTCTTTCATTCAAGAACAGCAGATTTCACTTACTCTCCACTGAGCTTTTGAGAGGTAGGACAGTAGCAGGAAAACTGTGTTAATCTTTTTTGCAAAAGCATCTCTAAAACAGAAATAGCATGTAGAGAAAGTCCCCCCACATGCTTAACGTCTTCAAGAAGGGAAAAGAAAGTATTTTCATTTTGAACTTAAAAAATAAAAATACTTACATATTCTTCAAAGCCAAGCCCAACAATAGAGAAGTGGCCAATGTGATAAGGACAAAATGCTACGGGGGAAAATCCAAACAAATTAAAGCAGTAATGAAGATTTCCAATTTTATTATACCTCATATACGTATGACTTAAAATGGATTTTTTTTCATTAGCTAGCAAGATAAAATTATTCCAGTGCTTTATCCAGTTCAATTTACTACAGATCTGTAAACCACAGTTCAGCACACAATACAGTGGTGCCTTGCTTAACGATGTTAATTGGTTCCCAAAAAACCATTGCTATGGGAAAACATCGCTAAGCGAAACACGATTTCCCATAGGAATGCATTGAAAACCGTATAATCCATTCCAATGGGAACGGATTACCGTCCTTAAACGAAAATCGTGACAGGAAACATCGCTAAGCGAAACAATGTTTCCCCCATTGGCAAATTCACCTCTGACTGATGAAGTAAGCTACAGTGCATGAAAACGTATGTCATATAAAACTTACTAAAATTCTTTAAAGACTTTTCACTGTTTTGCTGCAACAGACTAACTCAGCTACCATCCCTGCTTTTAATTCTCAAGATTCTTTCAACCATGACTGAACTTCTGATTTTATTAGCCTACAGTCTGTGCAAAAGAAACTATGGCAAAGAGAATCAGAATTTCTCCATTTAATAAAAGGAATATAGAATTGATGCTTGAGACTCATTCAGGTCTACTCTAACTTGTATCTACCTCACAGTAGTCACACTAAAAGAATTCAAAATATAATGACTTACCAAAGACAAGTATGAATAGGGTATTTAATGACACCACCCAAAACACATGTTCCTGAAGGGAAGGGGAAAAAAAAACCAGGAATCAGAACTAATATCACCAAAAATGTCCAATATGCAACTAGAATTTCTTATCCTATGGTATGTTATCAATACCCCTACAATTTCTTCCCTTACCTCTATGCAACTGAGAAGCTGGCTTCTCTCAAAATTTAAAATTATCAGTCTTTGCTACAAGAAACTGTACATTCATGTAAGGGCTCTCCTCAGAACAGGACAAAGGCTCGAAATGCAAATTTAAGCTGTGATATCAGGTGAATAAAAAAAAAGAGGGGGGATTAAAAATGCTTATCATATCCACATAAAAGCAAGTGTCATGCCTGGTACTGTATTGTATGGTAGGTATAACGGAACCCCTTATTCTGAAAGATATTGTCCATGTGAGCAGGGTGCTTTGGAAACTCTCACTCACATGCCCTTGCACTGTCCAATTCATCAGGACTGCCACAAAAAGTACGTCACCTCAATATTATTAAAGCTGGAGGGAAAATCCAAACTGAACAAGGTCTGTTTTACGTTATCAGTGGAAGTGGTCGACATTATAGAACAAGTAGCAGTTTTTCTTCAGTCAATTGTTAAGAGGCGAAGTCCTGAACCTAAAAAACTAGCTTGATTTGTCTATTTTATATGCCAATAAAGGTTATTACTATCAAAAGCAAGTGTACAACATGTTCTGCTGATAAGCAGCAAAACATATTGCTAGTTCTCAGATATTATGGTACTTGGATTCTACTTGCGGGACCAAAAAGAGGTGGACACAGTATAGGACATATCTACAGTATACAGAATTATTTTAATATGGTAAAATGGCACTTACTAAAAATACTAGGGATCCATCAAGCCCAAGCATCTAGGAACAAGAGATGATTTTGCAGTCAGTAAAATTCTCTAGATTCAACAATCTTTAGAGCTTCAAGGGATTTCTGTACCCCGCAAATGTTGGTAGGATTCAGAAAACAATAGGACTGCTCAGAGTGAAAAATAATTTTCCTGTACTCTCTCCCCTGCACCCTATCTTTCTGAGCATCAGGAGATTCCCCAGAATATTATCAGATGGAACATGGAGGACTGCAGAAGAAGAGAACCAGTTGTAGGTAGGGCGTCTCACATTTATGAAATTCCCATTTGACTCATATAAGAAAACCCTGGAATCAACCCAACATGCTTTCTTCTGTATAACTATATGTCATGCTTAATTACTAATGCTTTTCAGTTCTGAAATAAGCATGTGGGTCATTGATCTGGAACCATATTTCCACATGCTACCTGAAATCCCATTAGCATAAATTTATATTGCACAATGTATTTAATGTAATTAAATTGAAAACTTCCTGTACCTTTTGTCCTTGGGGAAGCTCTGGATGGGGAGGAAGTCTTTAATATCAGAAAATAACCACTGGTGGTCATGCAATTTTCTGATATTAAAGGCTTCCCCTCATTCCCAGGCTCCCCAAGTAATGTAAACGTATGCCAATAGAATTTCAGTCAGAGAGACATCTGGACCAAATGTTCCAGGTGTGGATAGTAGCACATCAATGTTGTACTGTAAGTAATCCAGCAAAGCTTTGCAATAAACATCTATATTATAAAATTATGTTTTCTTACGATCACGTCTGTGGATCACTCTCCTCTTTATGAATCTATAACAATCTCTGTTATTCATGTGACCCATGGAATTCTCATTTACTATTATTATTATTATCATCACAGTGCAGCAAAAGACTGACATAGAAGCAGCTGTCATGCCACAATGGTAACACACAAACTGAGGCATGTACAGAAATCAACATCATTAATGTTTTCTATAAACATCATTAATGCAAGCCTTGACATCTTAAGTAGCAGCAATTCAGTGCAACAATTTACACCTTCTGGCCTGTACAAATCGGAAGATATAATAACTATTCCACTTTCTGCCGTCCAGTCCATCCTAGAAAGGTTTGACACAGATTCTCTGGCAGGAAGTGGCACCGCAAGAGAGCCACCTCTTTGAAAACTTTGAAAAGGATCAGAATCCTATTCTTTAATTCCTCCAGGACACTGGAAGTGATGTCACAGGCAGCAACAGACTGCCACTAATCAAAGAATTCCTGCTCTAATTTATGTTGTGCCTGACTTGCACTCAATGAGATGAAACAAAAACTAGAACTAGTTAATTCGGTACTATCTGCCACTGCCAGTGACATGACTTCTGCTGTGCTGCAGAGCTACCAAACAGGATACTATCATGTACATCTAAGAGATGGCAATCGGTGGCTCTGACATTTGGAGGAATCTGTGCAGATAACTCTATTAGGGAAGGCCTAGTAGAACAATACAGGCAATACATATGTACTTCAGTTAACCATCCCTCTAATCCTTCCTCACTACCTGGATAACTCAACACGTCTCCACATCTACCCTATCTGAACAAATAAGACTAGATTCTCAAACTGTAGAGCACTCCAAGGAGTTACAAAGAACTAGAAGTGGTTACAAGTGCTGGGAATTAGAATGAGATATTGCTGATGGTGATCTCCTCTCCCCTTTTCTCCCCCAGCTCCCAGACAGGAACTCTGCAAAAAGCAGTTCCTATTGATTTAAGATCATACAACTTCCCTACACTTGGCAATGTTGGCTGAAGATGCTAGAAATTGCCATCCAATATCCCTGGAGAGCATTAGGCTTGGAAAGGTTGTCTTATGAATCAGGTGATTGCCAGATGGGTTCTTTGGCAATGCAAGAGAGTTAGTGGGTGTGGGTGAAATAAACGAATGAGGAATAAGTTGTACTGATAGAAAAATAACTCTTAAGATGCATCAGCAAGATACATGCTGCTACATCAGACAATCCACACAGCTAGGAATTTGTTAGGAGAGCTCATAAATAGCAGTATGTATCTGTGTTCTTAAACTATAGCTCTGGGAATTCCAGGATATGTCATCAAAAAACACTGATCTGTACACTTCTACTTATGAATGGAAAGTAAATGTACCGTAGATTGAATGTGCGAGGGTTCAAACAGTTTAATATTTACAGAAACTGTTACTTCTGTAACATGTTTACTGCAAAACAGTAAATTGTTTACTGCAAAGCAACAAATAACAGTAACTTGTTTGGAAAATATAGGAACATCACTGTTGAGTGCCTGTATTCTACAGAAAAGTGGATTTTTTAGTGGATAACAGCATTATTTAACTGCAATTGTGAAAATTTTAATTGGACATCTAGAATGTTACTTTGCTGTAAACAAATTCTAAACAGTAAAAGCAACAGATTATATATTTTGAGCAAAGGCACAGAAGGAACAGAGAGCAAACAGTAAGTCTAAATAAACAAGCAACAGATTATATATTTTGAGCAAAGGGACAGAAGGAACAGAGAGCAACCAGTCTAAATAAATTGAAGGTCAAAAGCATGGATTTATAGATGTCCAATTAAAATGTTCACAATTGCACAGTTAAATAATGTTGTTATCCATTTTAGAAAGTCCATTTTCTGTAAGAATACAGGCACTCAACAGTTATGGTCCTACATTTTCCAAAGACATCTAAGTGTTTTAGGGAAAGTAAATTAACCTGCAATAGAACACTATTGTTCAATCTCCCAAAACCACATTATTTTGGCAAAGCAAATCTTAACACATCTGAACCCCTCTCCAAATTACTTTTTCTTAGCCTTCTGCATCTCAGGACTATGGCAGAGGGAGCAAAACAGATCCACAAACCACATCCCAATTCGCATCTATCAACAACAATCAATAAGTGTTATTTTGCAAAATTGAGGTCATGAAGGCCACAAATTCACTTAGCCACAGATCTCCTCAGTCAGTGAGATTATCATTATCATTGCTGCAGTAGGAGGTGAACAGGGGAAAGTGCATGCAAAGTCAGTGAGAACAGGGAGAAGCGCACACAAAGCCAGGGGCTGCTTCCAATCTTATTGTGTATAAAAAAGTCCTTATACAGGAGATCAGTATGGTAATGGTCCAAACAGGACTGTAGTTACCACAAACATCTCCAAACACAGAACACAAGAGCACTGAGTAGATTTGAAGGATAAAACAGAGCTAGGGATGAGAAGGCAAAAAGGTTGTACATGAAAAGACAATGAAGTGGCAGCCTGAAGCTCTGACAAAACAAGAAAAAACAGTTTAGGAAGTGAATTGAGAAAAACTGGATTATGAAAGAGTAGGAACAGGAACATGACCACTTTGGCACCTACTATTTCTCTGCTCGATGCTGTTTTTAAAAGTAGTTTTCTTCCCAGTGCTTATATTCATTTTTTTTTAAAAAATCATTCTTTTCACTCAGTCATCCAGAAACAATATTTTTCCTGTTAAAAATGAAATTAGGGGGCTACCATATAATGTGCTTTAAAAACCACACCATTATTATTTCTAATAGAAAATTCTGATACAACTAATATAAAAGAAGAGATGATAATGAACATGTTAACAGCAACATGGCTAATTATTGCAAAGAATTGGAAGCAAGATTGGATTTTCGAACTGCATGAATAGTATAATGAAATCTGAAACAGTGCAATTAATGATAAATTGACTTCTGAAATCAAGTTTAAAAAAGGAGAGATATAGATAAATAGATTTAATGAAATATGGAAATGCTATATTGCATAAAGGGAAGCAAAAAAAACCCGATCAGGAAATATCTGTATTTTGGAGGGGATATGAGAAAGTTGAATTGAAGGTTATGCATAAAGGAGGAAAAAATTATGTAAGATATACAGTGGTGCCTTGACTTATGAACTTAATCTGTATTGGAACGGTGGCCGTAAGTCAAAGCACCATTTCCCATAGGAATGCACTGAAAACCAATTAAGCAGTTCCGGCCCAAGAAAAAAATACCCCAAAAATAAAAAATAAAACACTGCAAGCCCCTGGGGCTGCAAAAAACAAAACAAATCCCAAAATAAACAGAAACATAACCATACCAGCCCAATCCCACACTGCAAAAGATAAAAAATAGTTTTTAAAAAAGCAGCACCTTACCTCTGCCGCCACTACCAGGAAGCCTCTCAGACTCCAGCTGCCACTGCTGGGCCAGACCACACTGCAAAAGATAAAAAATAGTTTTTAAAAAAGCAGCACCTTACCTCTGCCGCCACTACCAGGAAGCCTCTCAGACTCCAGCTGCCACTGCTGGGCCAGAGCTTCTCTGCTGCCATGGAAGGCTTTCCCAGGGCTCGCCACAAGAGCCACCTTTCTCCACCACCATCTGCTGCCGGGCCAGAGTTTCTGCACTGCCAACGCAGGCTTTCCTGGGGTAGACCTAAGTCAAAGCACCATTTCCCATAGGAATGCATTGAAAACCAATTAATCAGTTCCGGCCCAAGAAAAAAATACCCCAAAAATAAAAAATAAAACACTGCAAGCCCCTGGGGCTGCAAAAAACAAAACAAATCCCAAAATAAACAGAAACATAACCATACCAGCCCAATCCCACACTGCAAAAGATAAAAAATAGTTTTAAAAAAAGCAGCACCTTACCTCTGCCGCCGCTACCAGGAAGCCTCTTGGACTCCAGCTGCCACTGCTGAGCCAGAGCTTCTCTGCTGCCATGGAAGGCTTTCCCAGGGCTCGCCACAAGAGCCACCTTTCTCCACCACCATCTGCTGCCGGGCCAGAGTTTCTGCACTGCCAACGCAGGCTTTCCTGGTGTAGACCGGGTCTACCAAGGGAGGGCTTCCCCTGGTAAGCCCGGTCTACCCCCAGGGAAAGCCTGAAGGTGGTGATCAGCAGCAGCGGGGGGGCCCCAGGAGGTCTCCCATAACAGCGGGGAAGCCCTGGGAGGCCTCCAAAGGCAGCGATGGTGGTGGCAGGGGACCTCCGTGAGGCCTCCAAAGGTGGCGATGACAGTGGCGGGGAACCCCCAGGAGGCCTCTGAAGGCAGTTATGGCAGAGGCGCCGGAAGCCCGGAAGGCTGAGCCTCCCTTTCCCTTACTGTTGGGGCAAAAGAACTACAAAGAAGCAGCCTCTTCGCCACCAACTGTCAGTTTTTTTGAATTTCCCGCCTGTTTCTGTTCTTAAGTCAAAGCTCCGGCCACAAGTCAAAGCAAAATTTTGTGGCCGAAGCTGTTCGTAAGCCAAATTGTTTGTAGGTCAGGACGTTCATAAGTCAAGCCACCACTGTAATGGTTCATAGGGTGAGAGGAGGACTACGTTTTTGTATTATTAATTTCTATACGTAATTTGTGTGAATGGTATTCTTATTTTGGTTTTATTAATGTGTATTAGTCTATTTTTAGAAAAAAGAAAAAACATGTGTTTCATATGCAATGTGTACTTTGACTAATATTCAGAAGAGGATGCAATGTGAGTAGAATGAAAGGATGTTGGAAACTTCTCTGCAATTTTCTGGTCTACGTGACTAAAAGCAAAACGTATCACAAATATATGGGCCTTACTCACTCTCTCCCATGTAAGTTCTTCTGCTGCTCGATCCCACTCCAAAGCATTCCAGTTCATGTCATCTAAATAAAGAATTAAAATTTTAAGATTGCTAGAGACAAAGTTCTAACAACCTATCAAAGCTGCTTAATTAGACAGGCCCTTTATAGCCATGTTAAGATACATAATGTTCTATCAATAAAAATAGGCATTTCTAATATTCAAACAGATGGCTACTAAATCTGCTGTTTATACTAGAACAAAAGGTTAAGTTTAACCAAACATTTTGAAAATGCACTGTTCTAATAGTAGGCTTGCATGAAATTGTAAGGCCACAAAAATCTTTTGCTTCTTCTTTTAGTTTCTTTCCCAGTGGAGATCAGTTATAATTATGGCTAAAAAATAGCTCTGTGTTGTTTTGAACTGTTCTCCAAAATTCTTGCACCAATGTGTTTTCTCCCCTTCCTGCACTTCTCTTTCCATATATATCACCGTGAATAATCAGTTTTAATACCTGTTATTTTTATTTTTCATTACCTGGTTGAAGTATTATAGTTTTCTGTATTATGTATGTCTTATGATTTCTTCATCTCTGTTCATCCACTGTAGCAATACTTTTTGGACAACTTCTTGATACAAGAAATTCCTAGCATCCTGATACGTACCTACACTCCAAATGTTGCTACTTTTCATTTTTTGTAAAAAAGCCCCTGTTTAGATATTAAACTATGTTTTGCTTAAGCATGACAACTGGAATACCCAGGAAAACTGAACTATTTCTACTAAACAGACCTGAAATCAAATAGGTCAAGATACATTCCCTTTATTCCAACATATAACATGGAAGTGACTCTTTAAAAGAGGTAATCTACCTTGTGCTCCATTGTTTGCATCTGCTGCATCTTCTACTACAACATCCTCTTCATCTTCATTATCTTCCTCTTCTTCATCTGGCTGTTCTTCTTGAATTTCTGGATTTTCACCTACAACTGCATTCTCTGCAGGCTGGTCCACAGGCTGGTCAAGTGCAGCATTTTCAGCTCCACCATTTCCTACACCTTGGACCTGTGCAGAAAAAGTCCAAAATTTGCCCCCCTGAAATTAAGGAATATGTGCTGCATTTTGAGGATCTTTACAATAAGAACTTTCAGGTGTGCGTTTCTAGTACAAATCTTTTGGCCAGAAGTTATGTTAGCTGCATTTTGTAAAGCCTCAAATAAAAATGGTAACACCAAAACAATAATGAAACAGTCTGCCACATAAAAGAGTGCACAGAGTTGAGAGAATTGTCCCTCAGGTAGGTGGGAAATTATTTCTTTATGTTTCTGGTTTAAAACTTCTATTTGCTTTTTTTTAAGCAACTAAAACATTTTTCTGTGTGCAATAAAATCATCTTATATACTGCAAAACAAGTATGATTGTGAGCATGTATTGGGGCTGCATTAACACAGAGTATAATAAAGGACAAAAATGATAGGGACCTAACAGAAGCAGACGATATCAAGAAGAGGTGGCAAGAATACACAGAGAAATTATACCAGAAATATTTGGATATCCCGGACAACCCAGATAATGTGGTTGCAGACCTTGAGCCTGACATACTGGAGAGTGAAGTCTAGTCGGCGGAGGTGATGGCATTCCAGTGGAACTATTTAAAATCTTAAAAGATGACACTGTTAAGGTGCTACATTCAATATGCCAGCAAGTTTGGAAAACTCAACAGTGGCCAGAGGACTGGAAAAGATCAGTCTACATCCCAATCCCAAAGAAGGGCAGTGCCAAAGAATGCTCCAACTACCATACAATTGCACTCATTTCACATGTTAGCAAGGTTATGCTCAAAATCCTACAAGGTAGGCTTCAGCAGTATGTGGACTGAGAACTCGCAGGAGTACAAGCTGGATTCCGAAGGGGCAGAGGAACTAGAGACCAAATTGCTGACTTGCGCTGGATTATGGAGAAAGACAGAGAGTTCCAGAAAACTATC